ATGCTGTAGAATTATCTCCTTGAGTCATACCTCCACACGATGGAAAGGATGATTTATCAATGCATACATGGAGGTGTTAGTACCTTAACATGTTCACCAATCATTTAAATTGAAAGCGAAGTTAACAAATAAGGTAAAGTGAGCCAACCCAAAATGAGAATGTTACGATGGTCTTGTGGGTATACACTAAAATATAAGAAAAAAAAATACATTCTAGTAAATTAGAAGCTTCGATTGAGGATAAAATAAGAGAGATTTGACTATGGTTGTATGGTCACGTACGACGAAGACCACTTAGTGCATCGGCTAGGAAAACTGATAATATTATAGTTAATGGGACAAAGAGATCGAGAGGTAGACCTAAAAGAATTGGTTGGGAGCAATTAAAAAGAACATGGGTTAACATAGGGGATGACCCATAATAGAACGGAATGGTAAAATAGGATTCATGTAGCTAATCCCAAACATTTGGGAGAAAGGCTTTGTTGTTGTTGTATCCAGTCTTGTTCACTTGAGTTTTAGATCCATCAAATTTCTTCTTATTGAAGGTCTTCTTTGCATCAATTTTCCTATAACAACGATATTCTATCTTGTGGTTCTGTGAACCACAGACGAGGAAAAATGATTTGTCATTTTAATCATTGTATCTAAGACGCTTAAAGAATAAATTCTATAGTGTTGGAAACATGTCTAGCACATGTATCAATTGCTTGTTTAATGTACAATTTTTAATTAATTCATGTATATGTGTGTGTTGTGTGTATACTGACTTGTATAGTGTCTTGAGAAACATAGGTTGAAGCATTAGAAGATAGATTTTGTCTTTTTCAGGAAGGATCTATATTAAGTCTCTTGAAGTTCCGATGCATTGCTACTCCTTTAATTGAATTTAGAATCATTAAGCCTGGTGCTACCTTGTCTTTCTTTGAGGTTCACTTTATATTTAGGATTTGTTCACATGAACCACCTTTCAAATAGGGTGACAAGACGAAAAACTGTCTTCAAAATTCAATTAATACCGAAACAAATTTTAAAGGGGTTCCGGTAGCAGCTAATCACATTGACCTATTTTTCTAGTGAAATGTCGATTGAAATCCCCAAAATGTCCATAAAAACACGTGCCAAAGGTGACTTCCATGGAATTTAGCCTGAATGCCCTTAAAAATCCCAAAATGCTCCAGAGAATTTGATTGGGACTAATCAAAATTTCATCAGAAAATAGTTCATCCATTTAGAGGTGATTTCTGCATTAATTGGACCTTAAAGATGTGTTCATAGTCAGCCTATCTTAAAGGTGGTCTATGTGAAAAAAACCCCTATATTTTTACTATCCTCAAATTTCTCCATAAGCACAAGTTAATTTTCAGTCCTTGTAGCTTTTAGAGCCTTAAAAAGAGTTGTTTATATTTATATTTTAGCAAAGTCACTTGAATAGGTGGGGCTGTGCAAGTTTGTGGCAAAGCTTCTTAGTGCCCAAAAGCGAGCCTACTAGCTTTTTTGGTTTCTTGTTGTCTTCTTAAAAAAGTCGCTTCACCTTGGTGGAAGTTTCAAGTTTATCAACAGATACAGTAAAAATCTGTCATCCTTCGCAATTAATGAGAAAGAATTTCGAGACGTTCTAGCTTCGATGATGAAGACATCTTGCAGGGGAATTTATGGCAGACATGTTTCATACATGCTATGGAAGATCCTCTAAAGCCAGTTAAACCCCCAGGCTTTGATTGGGTTTATCTGAGATGAATTTCGTAGTAGTTAGGGATTTAGTTATCCATTTAAATTGATTTAGTCTTTTTTGGATTAATATTGTTTAAGTTAGAACTCAAATTTATTTGAGTTTAAGGTTAGATTAGTTATTTTCAGGCTGGATTTGGGAAGTTAAGATTTTATTTTTTTATTTATCTAGAAAGGCTATCCAGTGTTTAGATTTCACAGGAATTCTTATTCAACAAGTTAGCTGTTTATGGGTAGCCACTCAGGTTTCCTTGTTAGACCGTTTTGTGGATTAAATTAAATTTTATTCAATGTTTTCTTTATCTATCTAGTTATTAACTGCAGTTTAATTTCAGGTTTACCTGTTCGGTATTTTCTTCTCCTCGCTCTCCATATGCCTTGCACATGAAAATTATCTTACAAAATATTCTACCACAAAGTTACGTCCACTGAGTTTTTACCAAATATCCAACTTACTGTGAGTCCAATATATATTCGAACTGATGCCACACCAGTGAATCTTAGCTTCTATGTGTAATATGATTAGATTCGAGCCTTGTTGAGATTGAAACGTATCTGCCATGGCCAAGGTATAAAATGTCGGCGTATATCTGTCTTCAATGCAATCGCAGTTTGGATGTGACAGGGCATGACACGACGTGATGGGCATTCAATCATCCAGAAGACATAGTTATGGATGAATTATAGCAGAAAATAGGATCTGTAAGTCAAGTATGTGATGTGACACATTACGACATAGTTACAGATGTATTATAACAGAACATATCCATGGGTCTACCATGGGACGCATCAGGGCATAGTTGTGGATAAACAATAACGAAACATAGGATCCGTGGGGCAATTGTTGGAGGCATTGATTTATCGATCTAAATCGTCTGATCTAATATTTATTTACTTGCAGGCTGAAAATCAAGCAAGTCATGTGAGTGCATTGACGCTGCAAGTTTGTCCAGCAATTGAAACCAGCACCCGAGAAAATAGTGCTCCGGTAGTTGAGAGTGCATGCCATGTTCCAGATATCCATGACTATCACAGGTGTAAAAGAGACGAGGATTGTGGTGTTGATTCCACATCTTGCAGACAAAGAACTTGCAGTATGGCAGGTTATTGCGGATTGTGGTTCTTTATACCTTGATGTACTGATGGAATGCAAGTCCGCCTAAGATTATCTTCAGGGACAGCAATATATGGGTAAAACTATATATGTTGCATGTAAACAACAAAGTATTGCAGATTCAGGAGGACAACTCAGTGAATAGGAATGATGATAATGATTTCGTGTTAATTTGTGATTGTACCTTCATTCGTGTATAATGTGCTCAATTATCTCACTGTATTGAAATTTGCGTAAAAGCTATAATGTCGGAAAGCCATTCAGGCCTTTCAGTATTATTGCCATTCAGTATTACTGCAATTCTGAATTACAGTTTAATCTGCAAAATTGCTAGAACCAGAAACTACGTTACAGCAATTCTGACTTACAGTTTAATCTGCAAAATTACTAGGTAGAGGATTGGAGAAAGGAAAGAGGTCATTCCATATTCCTCCTTCTCCGCCATCTTCGAAAAAGTAGCACTTAGCATCTCCTAAGCTTGAGCCTGTGCCTAGAGATTCTTCAAGGATTATGGAGGAGTCTCCTACAGTCCCACTATGAGAACCTAGGATTCGCTCTACAGGTGAGTTTTGTTTAAATGTTCATGACTTTCATCTTGAAGTGCTTTTAGCTGATGCGCTTCTCTTATGTAGGTAAGGAGCCAATTCCTCTAGATGATGATGATGAGCAAGTGGATTTTGGGCATGGTGACACCGATGCCTATTTGACTAAGCCTGAAGATGCAGGGAATGCTGGTGACGTCAGCGGTTCTCCGTACATGACGAATATTTTAGTAATCTTGTGTGATTGTTCCACTTTGGTCACTGATGTTTTGTTTATTTAATAGATGATGATCCTGATTTTAGACCCATGGGTGAAGTAGCCCCTTCATCATTTTCTATTGGTGGTCACCTCAAATGGGTAGTTGACTTTGAAGGGGTTTTCGACACCTTTGAATCTATGCCTACCATTGATACAACTGAAGCTCTTGTGCCAGCACTTGTTTCATTGGTGTGGTGAAGATTAATCATCTTTGGGTCTTCTGATGAAGATGACGGAGCTTCAATTTCTCCAATACCCACAGGGGGTGAAAGGTAGTGTCACCGAGCCCTAGGCCTATGTCTGATGAAGGTCCAAGTGTGGTGGCAGCTGATGAGCTAGAAGTCTCATCCATGTTTGTTGAAATCGTGCCTGAGGATGTGCCAATGACCACAACGATGGTTGTGAGGACTGTAGTTTCCTCCATTGCTGCGATGTTGTGACACCATCCACTATGTCAGACATCTTGGTCTCGTTCGCACTGTTTCTAATATCCGACAATGGAAGGATACAAGTCTTGCTAACTGTCTCTCCAACTACCACAGATGCAATGGTGGTCTCCACAGGAGCAAGCTCTTCAAGTCATGTGGAGATTCCACAATCTCTGATCCTGAAGATTTGATCAAAGTGGAGATAAAGATCTTAACTAAAAGCATGGTAAGACTACTCAATCAGAGTGTTGCGACTACTTTGAATCTGCAAAGAGGCTTGTCCGTTCGCACTCCTAAGTTATTATTGGGAGACTAACTTAGTCTTCTATCATTAGTTGCTGGTTCAGCTCGCACTGAACCCTTTATGATTGCGATTGACAAAGCTTAGTTCTATTTTCGAGAGTTATAGGAGTTTCTTACAGCTAATCTTGATAGCATTGTTGAGATTAAGTTCTATCGTCTCTTGGTAGCCTGTCATAAGGCTGAAGAGTCTGCTCGCGTAGAAATGGAGCGGATCAATATGAAAGTCTAAGGTTTGAATGATAGCATTGCGTCCGTTGACAATCAACAGGCAGAGCTTCATGATGCTATCCAAGAAAAGGATGCAACAATCAACGAGGCTAAGGTCGCCAATGTCGCAGCTCAGGTGCACTTGGAGGCAGCTCAACGCCAAAAGGAGGAGCTTGAGCTTAGCCTATCAAAGTTGACCAGGAATAGGACTCTCAGATTTTAGAGCTTCAGGCTGAGACAAAGAAGCTTTCAGTTATGAGATCTTAGGCTATTCCCGTTGATCCTAGAGTCATGAGGAAACAGGCCCAGAAGGGCAATCACAAAGTCAGGGATATGCAAATGGCTGAGTGTACTACACGGATACACGCTTTTTATTCACTTTCCCAGTAATGCTCTTTTTTTGTAAACGTTTTAGCTCTTTTGATGAATAAAAAAAGTTTTTATCTACCTTGATGTGTGTATGATAGAGGTGTAATGTTAACGTATCAAAGTGACATCTTTGCTGAGAATAATGATGTTAGGATCAAACTAGTAGAGGTGTAGTGTTAACATAATTACTTGATCAAATTGACACTGTTCAAAGGTGTAATGCTAACATGACAGTATGAGGATATTTGACAAAGTTGTAATGTTAACCAGTCAAATGGAATGATCGACAGAGGTGTAATGTTAACTGGATGGTTGAATCAAACTGATAGAGATGTAATGTTAACATATTAGGTTTACAAAGTTAGTAATGTTCAGAGGTGTAATGTTATAGGAATTTTGACAGAGGTGTAATGTTAACGTGCCAAAGGGAGTGACCGACAGAGGTGTAGTGTAACTTGTCGATTCACAAGAGTCCAAAAGATTACAACCGTTTGAAAGTGAAATGTTAATTTAATAGCGGAAAATCGATGGAAGTGTAATGTTAACTAATTGATTTTTTGTAAGAGCGAGTTTAACAAAAGTGTAATGTTAACCGGCTGAATTCGTTAAGATAGGTCGACAGAGGTGTAATGTTAACCGGTTGATGAAATGGTCTGACAGAGGTGTAATGTTAATCGGTCAGATCATTTGACATGATAAACCAATCAGATGTGTAATGTTAACATGACGGTTTGGTCAAGTCGGTACTATTCAGAGGTGTAATTTTAACATGATAGTATATGGATATTTGGAGTGGACACTGTTCAGAGGTATAATGTTAATGTGGTAGTGTGAGGATATATTTGGAGTAGACACTGTTCAGAGGTGTAATGTTAACATGACAATGTGGGGATATATTTGGAGTCAGGCAGAGATGTAGTGTTAACTTGATGACTCGTTAGGGACTTTGGATCAAGAAGATCAACATTTTTGGTCAGAGGTGAAAACTTAAACATTACCAGGTTCTTTGTGGGGAGATAAAATTGGCCGGTATCACGTGTAGTATTTCTTGAGAAACTTCCCGTTAATTGGCGTCATGAGCCTATTGCCACTTTGGTTAATTAGGCGATATGCTCCATTTGAGTAGACAGTCTCTACTACAAACGGACCTTCCTATTTGGTTTGGAATTTTCCTTAGTTTTATGTGTCATGACCATAAGTCGATGAACATCTAAGACTAAGTTGCCTTCTTTGAAGGATCGTTCTCTGACTCTCCTGTTGAAGGTCCTCGAGATCCATGACTGGTAGATCTTGATTCTTTGCTGAGCTTGAAGTCTCAGCTCATCTAGCGCTTCTAGCTCTCTGAGGTGCTTTTGATGATGTTTTTCAGTTGTCATCTTCTTGGCGATGGTGATTCTTAATGGCGGTACCTAAATTTCTAGAGGGATCATGGCTTTGCATCCATAGACCAAGGAGAATGGTGTGGAGCCAGTGGGAGTGTGGAGTGTTGTTCGATAAGCCCATTAACACTCTACAAGTTGTTCATCCCAATCTCGTTTATTGGAGGAGACAAACTTTTTCAGAAGCTTGATGATGGTTTTGTTAAAAGCTTCAGCTAGACCATTAGCAGCTAGGTTGTATAGTTTAAAAACCACATCTTGAATTCTGTATTTGTTGTAGAATTTGAAGAACGGTTGACTAATGAATTGCAAACTGTTATCGTGATTGATTCGTCTAGGAATATCGAATCGATAAATCACGTGATGTCTTAAGAATTTTATCACTAGAGATATCTTAATTTCTCTAAGGAGAACAACTTCGACCCATTTGGAGAAGTAATCTATGATGGCCATGACAAATTGATAAATCACGTGAATGATTCGTCTTGGAACGTTGAATCGATAAATCACATGATGTCTTAAGATTTTATCACTTGAGATGTCTTGATTTCTCTGAGGGGAATAGCTTCGGCCTATAGGAATACGTAATCTGTGATGGCCAAGACGAATCGATGGCCTCTGGCGGACGGCAGGTTGATTGGCCTAATGATGTCCATGCCCTAAGCTTCAAATGACCAAGAGGCGACTGTCAGATGTAATTCTTTTGGAGGTTGATGTAGGAAGTTAGAGTGGATTTGACACACATGACATTGTTTGGCCAGTAGTAGCCTAAACGATGAAGTTAGTTTTGAAGTTTATGACTTGGTTGATTAGCTCCACATGCACTATCGTAGGCTTGCTTTAACGCTTCTCGTGCTTCACTTGGTGATAAGCATCGAAGTAAAATACCATCGAAAGATCATCAGTACAAAGTCTGTGTAGTAGAATCATAAAAGAAACGTGGAGCTCTTATGTGAATCTTGGTCGCTTGCGTTAGATTATCAGGTAGTATCCCGTGCAAGACGTAGTCAATGATTGGAAACCGCCAATCATTACCCTAGAAGTGGATTGGCATGACATGCACTTCGTTAGCTTCAAGATTATGCTCCGGGGTAATTCACAACTAGCCACCGTGATACGCCTAGTGATTTTAGGTGCCAGGGCGAGTATGGCTACAAGGGATGCTAATGTGTCTGCACGGGTATTCTCAAGGCGAGCTACGTAGCTAATGTAAGAGCCTTCGAAAGTTGGGCAAGCTTCGTTGATGCTTTATGGTAAGGTATGGGGTCGTTGTGGCGGACCTCACATTATCCTTTGATCTGATTCACAATCAGTTTAGAATCATCATGGGCTTCAAGATATTTGACACCCATGTCTTGAGCAAGTTGCTAGCTGATTATAAGAGCATTATACTCGGCTACATTATTGGAGCATGACTCGGTCATTGAGTAGGCCTGAGGGAGGACATGTCCATGGGGATCATGTGACGCCCATGATTTCACACATGGCTGCAGTTCAAGGTAAACCTTGAGATGTCAAACCATCCATGCACCCACACTGTGCATAAACACGTTTTACCAATCACAGTAATATCCTCTAGTGGAATCAAATAAAAGTTTAGGTACAAAACAGGCAAAATAGAAAGTAGAAATAACAGACATGATATAGAAAGAGGTATTTCATAAATGAAAATCATGTCTCAACTGAACCACATATAATATCTGAAATAATAAAAATGTCTCAATATGAATCAACTGGAAATCGTACTAGCCTTTACAATATGAATACAAAACTCTAGTGTCTGAATAAAATCATAAAAATCTACTATGGAGCCCCTACTAATA